CTTACCTTTTCCTCTTTATCTTTCCCTGTGTGATAACTCCTACCATTTTTACTTAGTCATCATAGAAGAAATGCCACTACCTTATTTGATTCGGGGACCTTTAACCCCTGGCATAGCCTTTTCTGATTATTTTGCATGTATATTACAATAATAATAAGTAGCAGTAATTTCATTGTTTTGGAAGGCTTATAGGCCTTTTGGTTTTTCAGCCGTTCTGATACAATGCACTACTCTCTGGGTAAGAAATAAACCTTGACCATGAGTGCAACCATTCAAATCATATATAATGAAATTGAATTGTTCCTGACATTTTAGGGTGTTTTCCACAAATAAAGAACATGTCCTAATGCCAGCTGCCGAATCTCAAAAATACTTATCCTGCAAATTGGACTTCAAGGTTTAGTAATGAGGTTAAAGGTTGTAATGATTTAGGATCTTGATGCTTGAGATAATACATCTCCTAGTGTGTATTATGTGAACTTTGGTTGAGGGAGCAGTTTCCACAGTTGGTAAGACTACGGGTGAGGACTATTCTGTATAAAAATCCCTGGTTTGGGAATATTTTCTCTGAAAGCCAGACTGGTGCTGAGGTTGATTGCTTTTTAGCTGGCAGTGGAACCTGGCTGTAATCCCATTGCTTTTCTTTATTGCTGGTATTATTCTAACAATTTATTATTTTTACTTTAGTTTAATTTTTATCTAGTATATTTAAGAGCTGTGACTTGCTGTGAGGATCCTAGGATTGTGGGCAGAGTAGAAATATTTTAATAAATAATTAATCTTTAAAGAAGTAAAATAAAATGATATGCCTCTGTTATGGGAACATGTACTTTACGTGCATCATCCAAGTAAATAAATGCCAAGTAACATTGCTTGGTTGATTGGAGAAGCACTTTAATTAAAAATCTGCTTCACTGTATCCCAGAAAGATTGAAACTTTCTGTTCACAAAATACACCACACATAAAATATTGAACTTTTAACTGCTATAGTAACCATGAAGCAAAAGCTATAATTGTATTTTGGAAATGAAAGCTATATTTATATGACTGAAAAATCATTATTTAAATATGTTCCATTATGTTCAGAATGTCATTCTGGAACTGTAATTGTGGGCTTCAGTTCAAGTATTTATTAGCTGAATTTCAATATGAAAAGAGCCTATTCTATCTCCTGCTCCAGGTGTTCCTTCTGTGATGCCTTACTAAGAGAGAGGTACTTATGTTTGAATGAGGAAAACAGACTATTCCCTACCGCACACAGTTATTTTAGTAATTTATATGATGGCTAATAGCATTACGTACTTAAGAAACACATAAAAAAGCTACTAATAAACATCATAAATCGATTTCTGATAATAAATGAAAATGAATGGACAAATGACTTAATAAATGATCAAGAACCACGGGAAGAATTTCTAAATTGTAATTCTGGGATAAATGATCCTTTAATAACTTTCCTAGTCTGACTGGAGAAAGTTGAGGAAAGACATCATAAATCCATAAAGAGGGAGTGGTAACTATAAAGGAAATTGAAGAAATACAGATACTCCTCCCTTAGCGACCATAACTGGGATCACTGTCTCTGTTACTAAGTGCCACAGTTGCTAAGTGGAAAATAATCTGTTATGACATCACTTCCCATTTCTTCATTAAGAGAAACATCATATGACAGTGACTTGAAATTTTACTTCCATGTTCTCCATTAGCTTTGTGTCATCTTCGAACCGAACCTGGCCACAGCCATCTTTCTGCTCCTCAGTTGCCACACAGAGGCAGAAAGAGGTTGAACTGCATTACTAGACAGAACAAAGAGCTTTCTCATGAGAACCAGGGTCATCTCTACTGGCAAGAGATAAGGTTGGGAAAGGAGTGTCTGAAGAGCCCACCAATTAACTCAATTGGCCAAATTGACCTGCGACACTTGGGGATTGGGTTATTTCCTAGTTTAATTGCACTGAAACCACAGGAAAGATTTAGATTTGCTTTCCATTGAAACTGTGCCAGTATGATGTACTCATTAAAGAAGACCTTTGAGAAGGAGCCAAGTCTCAAAGTTCTGATTTGCTTGGGTTCGTTAGTCGGAGCCTTGGCATTTTGCTTCTTACAAGCCAGTTGTCAAGCATACAAATTGTGATTGTGTGATCACAGGACTCTGCACAGATTATAAATGTGCATCAGTTGCAAAGCCTCTGGATGTTGAGTAAATGGGATGCTGCAATGGTAGTAAAATTGGTTGCAAAGCTAGGTGGGTTTTTTTTAACATTATTGTAACTTTAATTTTAAACGAAGTGGCCAGTAAATAAAGACTATCTGCAATCTGGAAAAGAAATTAAAAGAAAAAAAGGAATCTAAAAATTATATTAGATTATTTTAGGACTATCCATCCTTTGAGGTTTGTTAAGAATATTTTTTATTTCTCACTAATGACTTATGTTGGCTAAAGATTATGAAGTTGAGAAAAGCTACTTTACCATAATCAAAAGAAGTCTAATAGTGAACTGTCTTCTTCACTCGAGGTACCTGGGATCAAACCTGAATTATCTATGTTATCATTATGATGATAAGTCATAGAATCCCAAAGGAGAGAAGCCATTAGGCTACTCAGTCTATCCTGCTGCTTAATGCAGAGGCTTCACTTAAAGCATCTCTGGCATAAATCTAGCTTCACTATCCAGTGAAGGGGAGCTCATAGCTATAAGAATAATTGATTCCATTCTTGTATTGTTAGGATTTTTTTTCCTAACGTTCAGTCAGAATCTGCCTTCCTGCAAATTTCATGTTCAACCCTCTGGAACAATGGAGATGGGTCACAACCTTTTTCTGTACAAAGTTCCCAATATTAAGCAGTGTAGCTGAAATTGGCAGTAGGAAAACTAACCTTTCCATCATTTGAGAAGAAATACAACAGATTCTCCACTTTGGCTGAATAATTTTAGTGCTATGTTTTATTTGCTTGCTTGCTTGCTTAATTCACAGTATCGTCTTAACGGTAACAGCAATACGCCTCCATTGCCTCTTTATTTCTTTTCCCACTCTAAGCCCTCTCAAAAGGGGTGACAAGTAAACTCTGCAGGACTCTCTCCATATGCCCAGACAGGTTTGGAGAAGAGGAGGTGGAGGAGGAGGAGATGACAATTCTTTTCCCAATCTCTTCTTCTTACAAGCCCTGATGAAACAGATGGAACTCTAAATAAGGGAGGGAGAGACAGTAGAAATGGGGGAGGAGCTCCTGTCCCATGCAGTGCCTGCCAGCCGGCTTTGTCTATCTCATCTTTAGAAGAAAGCAGTTACTTATAGCTTTCCTCCCCCTGTGCTTAAGGTCAGAATGGAGGAGACACAAATGGACACAGAGTAGAGTGTTCTTGTGGCATATTTCCACATTCTTCAAGACTAAGTTTTAATTTGGGAGTAATAACTAAAAAAGAACAAGTTTCTTGAATATGCATTAGCTTTGTTAAGTGGGAGTATTCAAGCTTACTATTAAAAAGAACAATAATGTGTCCCCAAGATTGCTGGCCAGAATAGTCGAAGTATCTTGCAATCAACTTATTTTGTGATAGTAATTTTTCAAAATACGCTTTTACTATAAAAGACTGCTGAAGAAGCCTCATATAACTCCTTTGAGTTACTCTTTTATCACCACAAAGCTTTTTGAATGGAGCTGCCTTATTAATGTTTTTGTATCCTCTTCATCATCACCATTCTTCCCCCCCCCCTTTGGAAGCACATATGGCAATATGCACTAATGTTATCTCAGTGGTGGGTTCCGGATCCCATTCCAACCGGTACAGCGGCATCCACATGGATGCATGTAGCACACACATGCGTGTTACCACCTCCGTGAGCCTCCACGATGCTCCAGCTGCTCAGCGGAGCATCGTGCAGGCGCTGTATGCACCATGCATGTGCGCAGAAGCGTAGAAGCCTTAAAAGACAGGTAGAGAGCTCGGGTGGGTGGGAGGGCCCTCTGGAGCAGCGAACCGGAATGGTATCTGGTGCTCCGGGCAGACTCTGGTACCAGGGCATACCGCCTGCAACCACCACTGATGCACAGGCTGTTATCCTTACAAGAGCAACCTCAAAAGAAAATAACTGGTCTAATGTCACCTTGTAAGCTTTGTAGTTGAGGAGGGACTTGAAAATGGATCTCTTCAGTCCAAGTTCAACCTCTTCACTATTATACGACTCTGCTTCTTCATAAATGGATCATGTTTGAAGCCGCCTTGTACTTGTGGTGATTTGCAGCAAGGTTGTACCAGTGAAGGTCATCCATGAGGGATTTCTTTAACTAACCTACGAAGAGCAACTACGTGATAATGAACATTATAATGGATTATCTCAAGAGACACAAATTCAAAGAATAGCAAACCTATTAATTGACTGCAGAAAGGGCTTATAAATATATTCTTAGAGCACTTTGTTGCTGTGGAATACCAATGTTTGATTTTATAACATGTTTATTGTTCAGACTTTAAATAAATCATTGTTTATTGTTCTGACTGTAAATAAACCATAGTATGTCCAAGGTTTTTTATGCAGAAAAATAAAAAAACCAGGAGCATTCTTTAATAGAGATTTTCCAATTTAAATTCAATGCAAAGTAATGTTTGATTTCTCTTGTTGCCTGCTGCTCTAAATAAGTGGTAAACACAAGGATACTAATTTAAAAAAAAATCATAATTGTGGGTGTTGACATGAGAGCAAGGGCAAATGACAACATATGCTTTGTAATGTCATCATGAGAATGTCCTTGCATGAGACATCATTGCATAATTGCTGCTTATGCACAATGATGGCAAACGTTCTTATTTTAATATTATTATGATTGCTATTAATTGTTAGAATGATTTCCCCCCTATAATTCCTATAACTAGTATTTCATCAGCCAAATTGTCACTGACTCATGAAAATTCTACCATAGAAAAGGTTCTAACATTGTTCAAGTAGAAAAAATGCATAACATAAAACATTACAATGTTTTTGTCTCCTTCTGGTATAGTGGAAGCCCTTCATTTGGGAACACTTATGGCAGCCCATGGTTATTTCTTTCCTATCTCAGACCATGTTCTAACCCTGAAGGATGACGGCACCTTTTATCGGTTCCAAGTAAGTTTTTTACAGCATTGTTTTTTAAACTTTAACTAATTATTAGAAGTAGAGTTATTCACCCCAAACAATAAGCAATTCTATTCATAATGTGATGGTCTCTAAGCAATATGTACCTCAGGTAGAGATACTTTTATTTTCCCTACAGAGAGTCTCTTAATATTATGTTAATGCAGAAGTCTTCCCTCACTTGATGCTTCCTAAATGATCTGATCTACTGTATATTCACTAGAACTCCTAGAAAATATGAGCAGTGGGTATGAATTATGGAAACAGTACTATTAGGAAAGTCTATACATTTAGCCTTTCATAATCAGCACCACTGTTTATATTTTAATGTACAGATTATTTACAGCTTTTGTCTTTCTTCTAACCCATAGCTAGATTAATTGTATGAAAAAAGCATAGACTAGAGCAATATCTCAGTGAGGATTCTCAGAGTTGTCTGGAAGTTGAGTCAAGGAAACTGGTATTCTTTTCTTTTTTGGTTTCAAACCAAAAGTTGGCATGCCTCAACTTCCAGACCTAGGTTAGGACCTTTTGACAAACAGGTGTAACTAATATCTGGTTTCAAGCTATTCATTACAGACAGGCAAGTCCTTGCATTCAAGAGCAATACAAAATATTTAGAAAAGATCAAGATTTCCTATTTATAGAAGAAACTGATTTCAGCTTAATATTAGATTACTTACACAATTTCAGATTGGGAGTGCTAATAGAAGTGGGTTTTGGGTTTTGTTTGCATTTAATGCCCCATCCACAGCATCTCAACTCTCAACACAACACTCACAACACAACAACAATAATATCAAAAATTCATAGCCTTAGCATTGTCACATAAAAAGAGTTGTTGGGAACAAGGTGGTATTGAAATTGAATGGAATTAATTAATTAATCGACACAGTTATTCAAAGATGCAAATTTATTCAATCAATAATTCCCAAGAATAGCTAATTTTATAATATTTTATAGCTGCCCATCTCACAGTGATTCAACATTCAAATATGTTTCATATGTTGCTTTGTCCACTTTTTCTATCTTTGTTTTGTTTTGCAGACACCCTATTTTTGGCCATCTAATTGTTGGGAGCCGGAAAATACAGATTATGGTCAGTGTGCATCTTTCTTTCAGTTTGGAGTTTTGCAGTGAATGGACTAATCTGTTAATTTACAGTTTATAATTAAGCAACTCTTAGCTGTATTTTTCAAACCTAGTGCAAGAACTATTAATGCTGAGCTCAAGATTGGCTTTGGTTTGCAAAGTTTACTAAAGCTGTGCATGGATTGGGGATACAAAAAAATGCATCTCCTTTTGCAAAGCTACAGACATTTATTTAGAAGATTCAGAGATTGCAAATCTGACATTTATATTATGACAGGCAACAGTTAAGAAGGTCCAAAGCTGAAAACTAATTCAGGGCCAGTCAAACAAGATGATATGTGAATGTAGTTATGGATAGCACAGTTCCCATGTGGTAATATCATACGTATATTATTTAGGCATTAATAGTTATTTAGATAAACTTTTAGTTGCAGAAAAGGCATAAAAATGTTCATTCAGTATTACTTACAATATTCTTACAGTCTGCTAATTTTGTTGGTAATAAGATGTATGATATAATTATAGTTTAAACGTTCTATATGAGTAATGGCGAACCTTTTCGGCAGTGTGCCAAAAAGGGAGTGCACATGTGCGCTCGGGGCTGCAATCCAGAAGGGAAGCTGCCCAGGGGGCATGCATGCACCGGAAAATGAACTTCCAGTTTTTGGCATATGCATGCACACTGGCATGCTAGTCTTCCAGTTACTGGCATGTATGTGCATGCGACGATCAGCTGGCTTGGCACACATGCTCACTCCGGAAAATGGAAGACCGGTTTTTCCAGTTTCCAGCATTGCTGCCCACATGAAGGCCAATTGATCATTGTGCAAGCACATGTATCAGAACCTCGGAAGAGGAACAGGCAATGCTGTGCATGCCAGGCAACATGCCACTTCAGGCACATTTGCCATAGGTTCACCATCACGGTTCTGTACATTGAACTAAACATTTACCATGAAATATATTAAACAAAGTGATTGAGTTATTCATCTAACAATGTAAAATGCAGATTCTGCCTTAAAATACACATACATATAACTGATTGTAGACCTATTTTGCAGTCTCTTCCATTCATGTTGGACTATGATTATTCTTATTCTTTGCTTCAGTATGGACTCTTTAGTTGCCATGAAAAAAGCAAATGGCTACTATCAAGATTGTTTTTATATATGGAAATCAAGTTAAAAAAATACATCTAAATGGGTATTAGGGAACTTTTAAAGTATGAGTGTCAGAGCATTAAAATTCAACATGATTAAAATGGTTGATAAAACACTGAGAATATATTAAGATTATGCCCCTTTAGTCCATGCTCACTTTATGCTTAGTTGGAAAATCCTGTTGCAAAGTTCACATAAACAATACTCTGTATAACTTGGAAATCCTTGACCTTCTGCAGATACTTGCAAAATAAATAAATGTCCAATGTCATTTGCCCAAAATTTGGTCCTAGCATTAGAAAACTAATTATTTATGTATAGTGCCAATTTTATTAGCTAGATTTTATGTCATTTCCTCACTTCATTCCCTAAAACATTGGTATGCAATCTTATCCAGATAGAGGATTTGGCTTGTCAGTAGTATACTAAGAGGGATAGGACAACTATGAAATTGCAATCAATTAAGATTAAACTTTCCCCATATATTTCATTGCTTTGTTTTCTCAATCCATTAAAATAATAAGGCATTAACTTGGAGCAGGGTGGTTTCTAAAAGATGCATGTATCCTTGGGTCATCAGACTGTGTACTGCTGCTCTTAGTATTTTGATTCTAGAGTGGAGGTGTGTAGATACAAAACGGACAAGATACTTTGGATATGGTGTGGACATCTTATTGCACCTATTGGGTGTTTCTTAAAGTACTAGAGTTTTGTCCTGGCTTTGCCTGATAACCATTTGATAACCAGGAAAATACATAGGATTGCTTCTTCCTCAGCTCAGAATGTATTTTCCTATGCCATCCACATGCAAGCTGAGGGTTCTTTGCAAGTTCTGAAGCACCTTTGTCTACTTCAGATCCAAATTTTGTACTTCACTATTCCAGATCATTGTATCTAAAGACACTTGCAGACAGCTTTACGCTAACTCACTGCCCTTGTCTGAAGGGGGAAGTTATACTACATTGTTGTAGTCTAAGATATCTGAAGAGGTCCCACAGCAACAAGGGTACCTGCTTTGGGTAAGTTGGCAGCTGGGCAAGTGCAATCTAACCCATATCCTTTTTGTACATGCATCCAACATTAACATATATGCAAAAAGACTGGGGTTTAGATCATGCTGCCATGAACAGGAAAAGACTATTTTAGCGGATAATGCATCAAAACATATGACATCCAGTGGTATGCAAAACATACTGTTTTCCATAGGATATAATATTTCAATATAGTAAATTAATGTTTCTATATTGCACAGCCTGAATAATCCTTCAATCAATTGTTCCTGTGTTTTTAAGTATATACTGAATTATAGAAACTGACTTCCACACCATGAAAAGCTTCACATGTTAACTATTATTAGACGTGACTACATTAAGAATGGCACATTCTGGTTGTTTTTGTTATGTAGAAAGGAACCCAACTGCTTAACATAAGGTAGTGTTTCCTTGTCTTCAAGAATTCATCACTGAAAAGCATATTCTGAATAACGTGGAATAAAGTTACAGGGAAGGAATTAATACTGCTAGCCGCACAGATACTTTAGAGCCATTTTAGAACTTTAAACGATGAAGCAGGAAAAATGAGGCTGAATGACAATGCTATGTGCCTGTTTCCATCAAGACTCAGATTTCAAAGTAGGAAGCATAGCATAGGATTGCATTCTTTGGAAGCTAGCCCATTATAATGAAATGTTAATCCCAAGAGGGACCACATTTACAGAAACTGGAAGGTCAATCTCGCATTTATCTTTCTTTTTTTAACAACTGTAATTCAAGGAATTCTTTCTTTCTCTCAAGCCGCTTAGAACTGATTTGGAAAAAGTTCCTCATCCCTTTTGTGAGTTGTTCTTTGATTTTTCACCTCAAAGTTATGAACAAGCTCTGTCTGAGGTGACATCAAGTGATGTATTCTTTGAAACATATCATTTAATGCTGCTTTGATTAATATCTGCGTATAAAGCAAGATAGTTCTGCCTGGGCACTCCGGGACTGATTATTATCATAACAGACCCAGATAAGCCTGTTCATTAATTATTGATATGAGAGCCATCCTTCTGGATCAGATTAAGTCATCCTAGTCTAGTGTTTCTCATTGTAGCCAACCAGTTGTCTCTGGGGCAAGCAGAAGGCAGAGTGGAGTGAAGGTAGAGGAATTCTACTGTATTTTCAGACGTCCAAGCTCTCTAAGGATTAATGGGTGGATCAAACAGAAGGCAGGGAAAATCAAGTGGTGAAGAGGAATTCAGGAATTCACAGGCATGAAATCTCTCTCCTTTGCCATTGTCCTGAATACGTGTTATCCCCTTCTTCAAAGCTGGGTACAAACCAAAGAAGAGGAAAGTGCAGCTGACAGTAGCTGTTCTGGCAACTTGCATTTAGATAGAAAAGTGGGGTCAGTGCAGAGGTGGTATTCAGCCAGTTCTGACAGGTTCTTGAGAACCAGTAGTGGAAATTTTGAGTAGTTTGGAGAACTGGCAAATAGGTTGGCCCCGCCCCCACTGCCTCCCAGCCTCCCATCTGATCTTTTGTTGCCCTGAACAGGAGAATGGAGCTGGAAAGCAGGTTAGTGGGGTGGAGAGGGAATGGGGATTTTGCAGTATCCTTCCCCTGTCACGCCCACCAAGCCACATCCACCAAGCCATGCTATGCCCATCAAGCCATGCCCACAAAACGGTAGTAAAATATTTTGAATCCCACCACTGGGTCAATGCAACTAGTCATGAAATAGATTCTGTTTTATTTTGGGGTTGCTTTGCTTAGGCCCTTGATGAAGGTGATTAAATCCCTCTTTTGTATTGTTTGGGTCCATTTTTTTTTTGCAACTTGATCATCTTTTATTCTTATGAATGAAAGCGAATATACATGCCCCAGGATAATATTACAGGATCCAACCTGGGTTGGTCACTGGGACCAGAGTCTTTGTCTTCTGAGCTTTCAGACTCATGCTGGAGCCCTTCTTCAGGGGACTAATCTCTAGCAGAATGTGTGCTGTTCTATGTGTAGTATTTATAGTATCTGTTGTAAGTGGCTTTTTAGATGTTGATTGTGTGTGTTGATGGCTGGTTTTTAAGTCATTAGCTGTCATTTGCTTATGCTGCATAGCCCTCACCTTCTGAGTACTTGATAGGCTGGGGGTAAAATCAGCACTGCTGTTGACTGACATGGGGCCTGTTTCCCAGGCTTCAATCACTTCCCTGATTTTTTTTGTGCCTCGTCATCCAACATTCAACTTTGCAGTGACTAAGATTCTTAGTATAGCCTTTATTGTCATTGTACATCATGCATACAATGAAATTGGTTTTAGCCTCACTGGTGCAATCCATGACAAAAAATACAAACAACATAAATAGTATAAAGTATATTATTATAATCCCTATACAAGTAATTAGGGAAAAAAGGAAGAAAGAAAAAGAAAAACTAGTCATACATTTCCATGTGTGCATGGAGTGATCGTGGTTTTGTTTAAGAATCTGATGCCCAAGGATAGAAACTATTTTTTAAACCTATTTGTTTGGCTGGCTATGTTTCAATGTCTTCTGTTGATGGCAGAAGTGCAAAGAGACACTGACCAGGGTGTGAATCATCTCTGGGTGTCTTCCTTACTCTGCTAAAGCAGCAAGACCTGGCAATGTCATCCAGTGGTATTAGAGGGCAACCAATGGTTTCTGGTGCCTTCAAGTCAATGTTGACTCCTGTTCACTGCCTGGACCAATCCCTGCAGTTTTCTTGGCAAGATTTCAGAAGTCATTTGCCTTTGCTTGTTTTCTAGGACTGAGAAATAGTGACTGTCTCAAGGTCATCCAGTTGGTTTTGTGCCTAAGGTGAGACTAGAACTCATAGTCTCCTGGTTT